TCTGTTGAAGAGATTATCTACTTAACGAATGCCTATTCTAGAACACTTATTTGGGCAAAAGATGGCAGTAGGTGCCCATCTTAATCTTTGCTAGAGTAGACCCCTCATACCTGCATGTCTGTGATTTAAGGGCTCTAGCATGGCCTTACTCCCTGTTCAACGGGAAAAAGTCTTCTTTCAAGGTTGGGTCATGTAGCCACCTAGCCTTCTCTCATAATGCCTCAAATCTAAGGATTCAGCCCTTTGAGTTAAGACGCTGAAGTTATTAGGCATTTACAAATAAAGAGGACATTAATAGATCAAACTGCTTGTGTCGGCCTCAGCTCTCTCTGAGGGCCAGTGAAGAAAGGAGGAGAGACGGTGGTGAAGAAAGAAGGCTGGATTGCATGCACTTATCTCAGGAAGCGGGGGAGGGGGAGTAGGTGCGGGTACAGGGGTGGAGCGGGGCCTGTGACAGGGAAATGAATGGGCCTGGAAGATGAATGTCTCTTTCATGGTTTTTCCTGGAACTGACCCAAACTGTAGTTCAGTTACATGTGTGTATTGAATAAAATGGATTGGAATTTCCGTCTTGTTTGGAATTTGTATTTGTATTGCAGAATTAAGATTTGTGTTAAAAAGAAGATGTGGGAGCAAAGTTCAGTGTTTCCCTTGCACCGTCTAACCTGAGTCATGATTTTGCTTCTGGCTTTGGCCCCCGGCCGGTGCCTCACAGATGCGCTGCCCTGAACCGGGGAAGAAGTAGAGGTCTGTGCCTAAAGGCAGGAGCACGTCTGCAGATGCTGGGACTGTCTGACTAGAACACATTCCATCCTGAGAGCCCATCTCTCTTACGTGGTCTCAGACCCTTTGGTCCTTGAGAGGCCCAGGGTCAGCCCAGGGACAGATCTTCTTCCAAGAATCCAAAGAGAGCATGGACCTCCTCTCCAGAAAATGCCCAGACACACAATTTTTGTATCAAATATGAAGGGTAGGGGTAGTACCTTTAGGGGGGTGTCCATAGTGCCCAGATTCAGAACCCGTGCTCTGGGGCAAAAAGTCCTTGTTGTGGACACACGGAGGAGTGTCCCTAAGCCCCAGCCTGCCATGAAGCTTTTTCCTGTCCATCAAATGTACTTGTCCTTACCCCTATTTGCTCATAGGTATGAGTCACTTGATTTTTAGTAGCACCATACGCCCTGAGGTGCTCATGTGGTAGAAATATTGACTTATAATTTTTGTTTTTATTAAAAACCTCATTTTTCCAAGGCCTGCTTCTCTTTAAAACATATTCTGATTCCATTTTATCTTCAAGTTGGCATACCTTTTTTATGGCTGGGCTGGCTCATTTGCAGAGATCTCTGGGGGATGGGGGAATTTGATGATTCTTCTTGCTTAGTAAGTCGTGTGAACTTTCTCAGCGTTTATAAAACCATTTCTCATTTTCCGTTTTCTTCTGAGATTGAGAAACACTGTTCTGCCACCTTGGAGCACCTCGAGGCAGTGGTCACAGCTTTACAAGCAGAAATCCAGAGGGATTGGAGGGTTTCGGGCATGCAGGGGCCCCCAGGAGAGAAGTAGAGCGCTGCGAGTGGGAGGGTGAGGATCTGGAAGGGGCACATGGGTCTGATTATGGAATATAGATCCCGTGACCTTATTGATGTTTTGGATTTCACAGTAGACCAGTAGAATCGACAAACTCTTGACCCTAACAGGGAATGGGTTTTTCTGCCTTTAAAAGGCCAACAAAGCCTTGTTCTTCAAATTCTGAGTTTCTTGCAGCGCCAGTTAATAGTGGGTGCTTTGTGGATGCTGATGGAGCTGTCTTTATGTTGTCAGTTGACCTCTTTCTCACGGGGTTGACCAGTTCAATCCTCCTGTCTTCTCTCCTCTTGCCCTCCTTTTTGACCCACAACGGAGGGTGATCTCACCTTTCTGCAAAAGACTGAGTTCCAGTGTGGGTGGAATTGGGGGTGTCCTCTAAGACATTCACTAACAACGTGATGAATGAAACCACCTTTGTTTTTTTCTTTTTTTAAGATTTTATATATTTGAGAGAGAGAGGGAGCATGAGCAGGGGGAGGGGCAGCAGGAGAGGGAGAAGTAGACTCCCTGCTGAGCAGGGAGCCTGACGACACAGGACTCACTCGATCCCAGGACCCCGAGATCATGACCTGAGCCAAAGTCAGATGCCCAACCGACTGAGCCACCCAGGTGCCCCCCTCCCTTTTTTAACCCTGATTATTCACTTGAGTTTGGGTAGGAGGGGTTTTTGCAAATCATACTGTAAGAAGAAGGGCACATTCTCAGAAGCTCTGGGAGAGAGAAATACTGCGATCCTTGATTACGCTTAGCCAGTTTGCTGGGGACCCAAGCCAGTGATGTGTGTTGGGCTCCTCCCGGCCTTTCTTCCGCTGGCAGGACTTCAGGCCCCCACGAGCTCTGGCCTCCGGTCGCCTTGGAGTGAGTCAGCTTCTGGGGTCCATGCACCAGCTTTAATTCTCTCTGCTCGAGCCAGCGTCTCTGAGAGGCATCACCAGACACAGAGGAAATGTAATGTTGGATCGAAGAGGAAGACCTGGGGAGGTTTGTGTGCACACTGATGTGTGTACTTAGTATCACGTGGCAGGATCTTGCAGAAAGACTTCCTGGCTACCCGAAGTCCGGGACAAGCTGGGTTTAATTTCCAAGTGAGGCAGACAGCAGGAGGAAGTGTGGTCCCGGGGGGTCCTGTAAACATGTTGCAGCAGGTGTGACAGTTGAGTGGGGAGGATGGAGATTTCCCTGTGTGCTGCTGTGTGGACAAATGGGAAATCATGTTTTCAGAAGAAAGGGTCGTTCTGCTTCATAAAGCTTATGGCAGCCTCACTTGAGCAATTGATTTGTTTAGTCTGCTTTTGGTACTCGGTGAGAACAACTAATTTCAAGCAGGAATAATTGCACTCAAGATGGCGGCTCCCTTTCCTGTGGAGACGGCCAAGGACTTTGCACACCACCATCCCCTCTTCTCCCAGTGTGGGTGAATGCTGATAGCTTGATTTGTTTTTGATTGTCCTTTTTCCTCCCAAAGCAAGATGCCCAGGGCATTGTCCTCTCCTCCCCCAGCTGCCCACCCCTGCGTTGAGGGGAAGTCTACTAACACAGAGTCCTACCCACCAGGTCACTACAAAAGAAGTGGTAAGAGCAGCACCTTTGCCATTGGAAGGGACTGGGTCTGAGCTTTCTTACTTTGGTGGTGTCTGGTTGGAACTATAAACTCCCAGTGAAATGAGACCACCATACTCTTCAACACTGAAATCCAGAGGAGGGAGAAGGAAGAGTCAGGAGGGACAGGTTGGTGGGAAGATGACCCTGCTATTCCTAGCCTTTCAGCCATTCCGGCTCAGTGGCCTTGGTAGCAGCACTGATACGCGGCAGGTGGGTGTTGAAGAGGTGAAGCTGGAGGAGAGGCAGGGTGGCCTTCAGAGCCCCTCCTTCTCCAGCGTCCCAGCACAGAATCAGTGCAGTCCACTCCCCCAATCCAGATTCATCTGGTGAGTCTCCCATGGAACAGGATGGGGTTCAGGTCCTCAGTTATTTCAGTGTATCCTGGCAACACAATTTTCTAATGATGTCAAACAACACACATTACGATGAGGCTGGAAATGAGGCGCACAATGGGGGAACACGCAACTCTTGGCTGCGGGGGAAGCCTACTCCTGTGGGCTTCACTGAGGTCTTCCCAACTATCTCTCCAGAATTGGGGTTATTCAGAGGTGATTGAGAATAATTTGAGAAGTATGTCCATGGAAAATGTCTATCTTGATGGAAATTTTTAAATGCCTACCCCAGGGAAGAAGAGCATCTTATTTTCTCTGCAGAGTGTTGGTAAGGAATGGCCAGCACGTGTATATTAGGCTGGTCAGTCACAACCACCTTAATCACTAAAATAACCTTGGGGTGTTGGAAGTTGGAAGTACCTTTAGATAAAATGAGATGATTCTGCCTAACGGGGTTTATAAATCATTAGTTTTTGCATAGACATATGGGCAAGTCTGTATCCTTTTCGTACTAATACCTCAAGCTCCTGCATTTCTGTATATCAAGTTCATTGGTCTGACCTGTCATTGGTAATTAGAAACCATTGTGTAATGTTCTTGCAGAGTGCTTGGGCTTACCTGTAAACAAGTACCATAAGAACACAGGTAAATGTGGAGTGGGGAATAGGGTTACTTCTTTCAGTAGAATCCCAAGGACAACGTTACATGATAGCCAGAGTTCTTGATACTGGGGTCTTGGAAAATGCTGTGCTCCATAATCCCTCTTGTACATTCTGCTCATTAACTTGCTTGTTAACTATGTAATTGAAAAAATCAGAATCAAGCAATTGAATTAATAAACTTGCATTGACGAAAGCAGGGTCTGTTGGCTAGCATGAGTTTCAGCATTATAAAATTTCTGTGTTTTTCCTTAAATTTTTATTTTTGTCTCCCTTCCTAAATTAATGCCAGCTCTGAGACTTTTTTTTACGCTTGCTGTAGTGATATTAATTGATGTGAGTAGAAAGAGTCTCAGAGTAAATCTTCTCATAACCAAGGTAATTTCAGTCTGTCCTGGGGGTATCTGACTTTTGCTTATTAACAGAAAAGTTTACATTAGATATAAAGTGTTCCCGGTTGTGTAAATTAAAAGGAAAATATTGTATGGGAATAGTCCAGATAAGGGAGCTCATACCCATATAGTTTTTTGAAGGGCGGGAAACTTTTTTTGTTGTTGGGGGAAGTCTTTAGGCCAGAAAGTTCACTAATAGGGGATGATGAGGAAAATGAATGGGCATGCACAATAGCTAAAGCATCCCAAAAAGGGCCTACACCCCGAAAGAGTCCTCTTTCACCCTGTGGCTAATAGGGCTGGCTTCCAGAGAAACTCTTTGTGGGGCAGGATTGGGCCCCTTCCATCATTGCTAAGTGTATAGGTCCCTACGCTGTGCTTCTAACTTCTGCTGGACCAGCTGGTGATTTTTATCAATGATCTAATTTTAGCCAAACTCAGGCCCTGAACTGGTTTTGTCCGAAGATGAAAAAAGTGACACTGAAGATAAGGAAGAGACAGAATTGGGCGTCATGGAGGATCAACGGAGTATAATTCTCCATCTCATTTCACAGCTCAAACTAGGAATGGATTTGACCAAGGTAGGTTGGCATGTCCCATTGGGTGTGCAGCCAATGGCTTGGGTTCTTTCTCCCCTCCCCCCCCCCCCACCCCCAAGCCTCCTCTCCTCACATTCTCTTCGCCGTGGTGAGACTGGGGAAGGAGAGTGGGAAAAAGGCCAGAATGGCACTCGAGCATGGATATTCCAAGGGATAATTTGAAAGGATGTTTGTACGTAACTGCCCCTCTCGGAGCATTAAGCGTCACATTTGACCCTCTAGGGAAGCTGCTAGTCTAGCATCAGAAGAAGCACAGGAGATGATAGGGAAAATTCAAGATAAGATTTCTTTGTTTCCTGCTGTGTTCTAGAGAAGATTGAAGATGTAGAGACAGATGAGGCATATTGGCATTTCTCTCCCAGAGAGAAAAACGGGAGGAAGGAAAATGGCGGCCCCGGGAGTGATGCCACTGTGTGCCTGGCCACAACCTGCTGCCAGTTGGTATTAGCTTTAACAGCTAGTCCCCAAAGGGCAGCCTTGTTGGGAACTCAGATCCCATTACCCACCTGCAAGGAAACAGACCTGCTCTTTGGTGGAAGTGCAGCTGACTCTTCCTGGGGGACAGCATCAAGAGAACCCGGTGTCCTGACTACTAAAGGTGAGTTGTTGGGCCCAGAGAGATCCTCCCTCACCCTGAGCGGTGGCTTCATTCTGGAGGCAAGCAGAGAAAGCAATTTTGTATGTAGCTGAAGGGTTGTATGGTGGCATTGGGGGACGGTGCCCACCTGGTTACATTTCTAGCCAGATACTGAATCCTGATGCCTCCCTGGAAGGGTGTGGTGAGATTAAAGGGAGCAAGCAGGGCCCCAGCCCCGTGCTGGACTCGTAATAGGCGCGACATCACTCTTAACCATACCAAACGCTTCCTGTGTGATGAGACTGTGTGCTGTGGTAGAGGGACGACTACTCGGGAGAGACCCTGTGGGGAGGGTTCTAGAACCTGAAGGCCAGCCAGAAAAATGTGGACATGCTTGAGATGGTCCACGCCACTGAAGGCACCCCCTGTGGAAGCCGCCTTGAGGGTGGTTGGGTTGTATGGCTGCCGTGACAGGTCTGGAGACCACAGGTTCACCTCAGACTGTGCCAGAGGCCAGAGAACCTGGCGGGAAGGGGCGGGTGTGAGAGATTCTTTGAAGAGGAAGATGACAAGATGGTTCTTACGGGGGACTGAGGAGTTGGGAGCCTCAAAGAAGACAGAAAAGCCTTTTCCGCAGAATGTTTTCTGTGTTTGAATGTGAGCGTGTCTGATATTCTGGGAGACTGTGGCACTTTAAAGAAAATGGTGGCCCCATGCTGGGGAGGCCTGACCTCAGAAGGTTTCCTGCCTTCACCACTCTCTGCACTCTGCTTGGATCTGTTCACCACACCCTGAAGACCCGCTTTGTGTTATCTTGCCTAATTCCCTTCATTTCAGCCTTCTAGCTCTAGAATGGTCCTGTCCTTTTTGCTAGAGGAATCATTTAAGCGCTCGCCTTTTTATTTATATGTTTATTTTAAAGATTTATTTATTTATTTTAGAGAGCGAGAGAGAGAGAGAGAGCAGGGGAGGGGAGAGGCAGAGGTAGAGGGAAAGAGTCTCAAGTACACTTCCCACTGAGTGTGGAGCCCGATGCAGGGCTCAATCCCACGACCCTGAGATCATGACCTGAGCTAAAATCAAGAGTCGGATGTTTAACCGACTGAGCCACCCAGGCGCCCCTAAATGCTTGCCTTTTTAAAAGCCACTTATTTTTTATTCTTGTGGATTCGTGGACACTTCAGATAGAGCTTGAGTTAAGATCCGGTGGAAGGAATGTGGGTAATAATATATGCTAGTATGATCTAAAACCACATTTCCAAACTGTGGGTCATGACCCATTTAGTAGGTTGTAAAACCAATGTGTGGGTCAGATGATCATTTCTAAAAAATGAAGTAAAACCCAATGGAAAATCTCAGTGTGTACTGCTGATAAAATTTTTATTTCAGTTCTGTTGATGCATGTGTACTGGGTCACAATGTAAAACATATTCTCGTTGCGGATCGTATTAAAAAATATTTGTGAAACATTGATGTAGAATCATGAATGACATAGGAGAGAATGTCAGAGGCACTGAAATTGTCCAGGTCAGGTGTGGAGGAACACAATAAAATACCGAGAGGGTTCTATTACGCAGGTTGAATGTCTTGGAGACCTCACATTATGGCTCTCTTGTTTTAAAATAAATCCTAGGAACCGTGCATCTCCTGTTATTATTTTGTTGGGATATAATTGCTTTGCATTTTGGGAGCCACGGTCTATTCCTAAAAGAGCAACTGTTATGTTATCCAATACTCAGTTGGCTCTTTGAAAGGAAAGCTTTTCTAGTCTGTAGTTCATTAACTTATTTACTGGGAAGAAGCTATTATTCGAAAACCAAGGGAAGAGTTAATGAGCTGAAATGCTTGTGAGAGGAAGAGGTAAACCTTCTGTTGCATCATAGAAAGGTTGATGAAAGTCTCTTTGCTTACTGTCTCCTTTTCTCTTCTTGGCGTTTGCCCATATCATGGTGTTAAGCTTGTGCCAGATTGGCAGTGTATGAACTTAGCCCGATTACAGCATCTGATGAGCAGGCACCCTGGGTATTCTTTGACTGAAGAATGGAGCTCTGGTCACTCTCCATGAAACAAGTCTACCGCCCCATCTTTGAGGAGGTGGCCAGTATTGACACATCCACAAGTCACCAGCATGGCTGGGCGTCCAATGCGACATTTTGCCTGAGTTGATTAACTGTGGTCACCAGACAGGGCCGGTTTCATGGGCGTGTGACTAGTGGAGTCACACAGCCCCCCGTGTTCAGAGGCTCCCATGCTGGATAGAATGTTCTACTGTTGCTCTCTTGAAATTCTTTTTTTTTTTTTTTTAACTCATTTGTTTACCTGAGAGAGAGCGTGAGCACGACCTGGGGAGGGAGAGGGGCAGAGGAAGAAGCAGACTCCCTGCTGAGCAGGGAGCCCAACACAGGGCTCGATCGTAGGACCCTGGGATCATGATCCGAGCCGAAGGCAGACGCTTAACTGACCAAGCCACCCAGGCGTCCTCTCTTGAAGTTCTTAATAACTTTGAATAAGGGGATTTTCATTTTCATTTTTCACTTTGCCCCCACAAAATATGCAGCTGGTCCTCCCACTAAAAGCACCCCTGGCTGCCCTCCTCCCTCAGCTATGCTTCCGCAACCCCAAGTTGCTGGTGAATACCTCCGCTGGGTGACCTGCTCCATTTCCACAAATTGTGGGTAGCCTAGAAAGGAAAAGGAAAGACAAAGAAGGAACCACAGAAAGATGGTGGGCCACAGAAGGCCTCTTTGAGGAGGGGCCATTTAGGTTGAGGCCGAAGGATGATGGGCAGTAGTGGAAGGAGCGAGAGGGCATTCCTGGCAGAAGGAACAGCATGGGCAAAGCTGGAGAGCACAGGCAGTGTGACTGGAGTCCCGCATGTGCTGACCAGTGGCACGCTTGAACCGGACCTGGAGTGGGTAGCAGTGTCAGATCCTGTGGACCCTTGTGGGTCACGTGAAGGAGGGCAAACCTGATCCTGAGGGCAACAAGAAAGCTTTGGAGGGTTTGATGTAGGTGAGAAACACGAAGAGGAGGTGCTGTGCTCCGCCTGGCCTCCAGGGAGCGGGGCCACAGAATGCCGGGTGGAGCTAGGAGATCTGTGACCTTCTTAACCTGCTCTCCAGGGATATAAAAGATGACCACGAGTAATGCATACGTTCACATACTTATGGAGCTGCACACACACCTGCCGAATAGTGTTCTAGACACTGGGAGTGCACCAGTGAGCAAAACCTCCAGCATCCACACCCTCCCAGAGCTCGTGGGATGACGGAAGGAGGCAGACAGTACACGAGAGAGGAGAGTCCAGAGCTGAGAACAGTGCAAAGAAGCAGAGCCTGGCGGGAGGGTGAAAGGTGAAGTTCAGGGGAGGGGGACAGGCCCTCTTCGAGGTGCTGCTCAGGGTGGGTGCTCCCGGCCACCGTTGGACCAGAGACAAGGTTCAGATGAGGGGTTCAGCCAGGTGACTGTGCAGTGGAGGCGTCCGAGGGCCCTTGTTTGGTGTTTTGAGGGTGAGCAGGGATGACTCAAGAATGAACTGGGTGGGTTGGCAGGAAATGGAGTTGGCAAGACAGAAGTGGGGGGGTACTCCTAGGACACCGTAAGGACTTGGTATATTACCCTGAGTGACGTGGCGGCCACTGGAGAGTTTTGAACAAAAAGCACAGTGGCCCTTCTTGTAAAGGATTATTTTGCCTCTCGTGGAAGGTAAACTGGGGTGCGGGTGAGTGGGCTGCAGGCAGCGGGGGAAAGGGTAGACGCAGGGAGGAGGTGAGAAATGATGGCAGAGTGACAGTGACAGAGTTCGGATGTCCCCACAGGATACGGGTGTCCTGATTGCGTATGGATTGGATGTGGAGCGTAAGGGAAAGATGGGTAAGGAGTGACTCTGGGATTCTGACCTGAGCCACTGGAAGACTAAACACTAGATTCAGCCACATTTGTTTCTGTGACCTATTGCTGAGGAATTAACCACCTCAAATGTCGTGGCTTCGAATAGCCATTTTGTTTGTTCTCAGCTGTGCAGTCTGGGCGGGGCTCGGCTGGGCGGTCCTGCTGTTGGTCTTGTCCATGGTCACTCGCGGGTCTCTGGTCTGCTGGTGGGTCGGTGGGGGGCTGGACGTGGCTGAGACAGCTGGTCCCCTCTCTATCTCTATGAAGTCTTAGGATCTCTATCCGTGTATCCTTCCCACATGGTCTGTCCAGCTGGGGAGCCAGGCATCTTACAGGGTGTCTGCAAGTTCCCATGAGGACAAGAGTGAAGCGGAGAAGCGTTTTTAAAACTTAGGCTCCGGAGTGGTACAGTGTCACTTGCTCTGTATTGATTAAAACAAGTGTGCTCTGCAGGAGCTGGGGTTCATTGGAGTCCACCAGTGCCCCAGAAGGCCACCGCCCTTATGGAGACGGG